GAAGGGACGAGGGCGAGAAGCCTGGGGAAAGAAGGGGGGAAACCGGGGGTACAGAGGCACGACACGGCCCAGGCCATCCCTCTCCTGGCTGCTAAAAAAAACCCGGCATTTCTCCTTCTGAAGTCGCCTGCTTTAAAAGAAATACGGTGTTCTGGGAAAGTCGTCCGGACTCTGCCGTGACTCCACATACGCTTGGAAACGATCCGTGGATGTGGAGGGAGGTGGTCATGGTTGCAGCCCCCTGCCCGCCTGAAGCATCGTCTGTGTAAAGGCAAGAAAAATAATTGTCCCCTGCAAAAAGTGTCCTTACGTTGGTGCTGCCCTCACCGCCTCTGTTCTTGTCCTGTTGCTCTTCAACCTGGCAGTGACAGCGGTGCAAAGGAAAAGGCACAGGCTGAAATACCGTATCGGGGCCTGAAAGTCTGTCCTGGGCATCAATCAAGGGCATGAGTCAAGTTACTGACAGCTAAATTAAAAGAGGAAACAAGTACTTAAAAATTAATTCCCAGGCTAGTTGTAGATAGTTCTAGACAAATAAACAGAAAAGGCAGGGAGGTAGAGTGCAGTGAACATTGATGTGAATGTGGTCTTTACAAAAAGTACCTATCAGGAAAAGCTGTTGAAAGTGCTAAAAGTGTAGAAGTGGCCGTTAATGTTTGAGCTCATTCCTGCGGACCATATCCATCTAAGTCTGTGTGTCTAGTTAATGAAGGAGCCTGGTAATGAGGTAATTTGCATAAGAAGATTGGGCGTTATGTGTTGCCGGCCAGGAGAAATGGAAGGTGCAGGGCCTGGGATTTAGTTTTGGCTGTATAAATACAATCCAAATAGGTTAGAATTTGCAAGTCTCTTTAAAGTATCACATTTGTGTTTATTCTTTTTATTATTTTTTGAGAGCTTTGTCTGCTCTGGGAGCACTTAGGTCACTGCCAGAATATGAATACTGATACACAGGGAAATAATTGTGTGGAGAAAGATGTATTGGCAAAGCCCTCTGCTGCTGCAGTAAAATTGCCTCTGTGGGGATGCAATCTTTGTCTATACACAGTTTTCCATTATATTTTTAACTCTATCGGTCAAGAATGACACTGATTACTAACATTGCTTTTGGTGAAAATCCCTGCTGTAGTAGAAAGGTCTGAGCCCTTTGCTGCTGCCGTGTCAAAGAACCAGTTTTGTTGTTGAGTTTTGTGACATAGACACCCAAGGAGCAGGAATTATTCTCAGATCTGCTGTTGTTGTTACTTGATGATAGATGTATTGCATTGTCTGTGAATTTGGTGGATTTCTGAACCATACTTCATGGCAGCCTTACAGGTAGCCTTTTTTTCCTTTTCTAGCTATTAAACCCATCTAAGTGTAGTAAAAGAATATTGGTAAGAAATGCATAGCATCAAAAATCCTAGCCCAGGGATTTTTAGAGGTTTTTTAAAAAATTCATCTCAGTAGTGTCTCGTAATTCATCTCAGTTTCTGTTTAGGCTGGAACAGACAATTCCCTTTGCACTTGGCAATCAGACCTTATTGTGTGACCCATATGGTTGCTTATAATCAGAACAATATTAGAAAAGTTTTATATATTTTGCAGCTCGTGGTGTCAGCAGCAAGAAATTAAAGGACCCGTTTATTTCTTTTTACAAGCTGTCCTCTGTATTAAAGATTATTCACAATTAGTCTGGGGACAGCTTTTGCAATGAAAGTGAAGTGACCCACAGAGATGTTCTTTCTGTACAGCGTTGTATATCAAAATCTAGAAAGATTTCTTTAATATGAGAGAACATGGCTCACTTTTACTGCACGAATATTGTGGACCTGGAGATGCACATTGTAATCAGCTTTCTATTTTAATTGAAGGCCCGGGGATGTTGAATATTACTGTGTGATGCTGTGAATGGGAAGCATTTCAATTATGTCTGTAAGGATAAGATTCTGAATATGCAATGTGATCTGTAATTGCTCTTCTTCTAATGAAGTAAGATGGACTTAAAATTAAGTCACGTGGACCCAAAACCCAACTCGTTTTAGCCTTCAGTCATGAGGTTATGGCTCAGTTCTGAATATGCAATGTGATCTGTAATTGCTCTTCTTCTAATGAAGTAAGATGGACTTAAAATTAAGTCATGTGGACCAAAACCCAAACCCCAACTCGTTTTAGCCTTCAGTCATGAGGTAATGGCTCAGACACTCCAGTCACTCTCATTGTTTGGCAGAGCTCAGCCTCAAATTCAACTTTTTGTTCATCTTTGCGACTGTGTGCTCAAGACACAAAATCCCTTATCCTCTTATTAGCTGTTTGCAAGCCTAATGGGTTTTAAATGCTATTTTTTTAACATTTGAAGAGCAGTCTTTGCAGGGTTATTCTTGCTGCTCAGACAGACAAAGCGTGTGTTTAGTGAGCCAAAAGTGGGTGGCCAGCACCGCCCCAGAAATGAAGGCTTGGCAGTGGAAACCTTATTCAGGTTATTCATACATATTCACTTTTCCAGATACCTATTGAGCATGGCTGGACCCTGCTAAGTGCATTCAAACAGGAACAACTTCTGGTTTTTTAGAAGTTTGTGCATACCTCTCTTGAGTAAATATACATAAGATATAATTTATAGATATATGAGATATCTAATATATATCTTTGTAAGTTTTCACCTCAGAATACATCAAAAATTACCAAATATGCTCCATGTCTTATTTATGTGCTTTTTCGTAATGCTTTTTGATTCAATAGGAATGTTTGTCAGGGCTCTTGACTCTTGAGCATATTTAGCAGCAAGCTGGCTCTTTGGAAAATTGAATTTCAGGCATTAGTAGGCATTATTAACACCTCAAGGACACAAGTAAACCAGTAAAAATACTGAATTTCTCTTACCAATCCCAGTGCAGGGAGACCCCTACATCATTGCAGCAAGTCCTGAAGACTTGGCTGTATGATTTTTCCCCAAATAAAGAAGCCATAATAAACTTCTTCACCCTTTGTCTTGCTCTTTTTACAAATAAGCCAGCTGGCCGAGTCCAAAATTCAGCTTCTGTGATTCCTTTGTAGAGGAGACAGCGAGGTAATTGCATCTCGCAGTAGTTCATGGTATTTTACGACTTTGAAATTATTCTTAGGTTTCAGTGCATATTTTGTATGCGGGATCTAAACAAAAGCATTAATTTGATTAGCATAAGTCACCTTGTTAAGCGTGGATGTTTACCCATCTCTTCTTTATTACTTGACACATTAATAAGGCATAGGATGGGAAGTTAATTCATTTCTAACTACCTAAACTAATTAATTAGAAATCTGCTTTCCCCGGGTGTACCTGAATTAACTCTCTCGTGTCATTTGGGGTGGGTTTTTTTAACAATGCTTTTGCCAAGTGCTCTTTCCCAAAAGTATCCTACACTTTGAAAGGAGGTTCTTTTCCCCCGTACATTTATATTTTGATGAGGTAGGGTCAACGTTGTGTTTCTTGGTGCTATTAGACTGTAGGAGTACTAGTAGAAATGTAGGTGTTCTACTGAGAGCATAAGCACTGAACATAATAAAGATTGTTAATAACTTCAGTATCAGAACAGCAATCTGCACTGCAAAGAGCTGTGTGCAAACTAGATTTCTACAAGAATATTGGGGTTTTTACATGAAAACTTAAAGTGACCAAGAAAAGCCACTCAGCCCTATCTCCTCAAAGCCACCAGCAGCTGGGGACTCCAAAGTATTTGAGGGTCTGACTTTGGGAAGCGATGGATGGCATCTGCTTTGGCATTTGCTCTTGGTTGAGATCAGTGAGAGTTACACTTTTAGAGAATATGGCCCTCGACAAAGTCCTTGTTTCTTCTTCTGCGCCTGTTTTTACTCATTCCCATTGACTTCACTGGCCTTGCTGTTTTAGAGCTGCGAAGCCCGACCAGTTCCCACTTTGGGTCCTGGAAATGTTGTGGAGATGAGCACTGCCGTGTCTGTAAGCTGCTCAGAATCAACCACCGCACCTATGACACCACATTTTAAAACCTAGATTTAAAAAAATGAAGTTTAAAATCCATAAAATTAACGCAGTATCACAGTTGGATATTGAATTCCTGCTTTGGGTGCCCGTTTCACCACCTGCATTTTGCGGTGCTGCTGGCTACAGACCAAGGTGTGACACTGAGCTCTGGTTCCTTCTGCCAGCCCCTGCTTTGTCCACTCTTGTCTAAAACTGCCTTTTCTCTTTTCTTTTCATTTTTGTCTAAACAGATCTTTCTGCTTTTCAAGTTTTGAGGCTATCAATGCACGTCATGCAAATGAACAATATTTAAGATGCTCTGCACATTTGAATATTCATTATTACTCATTTTGAAGAGAATTTGCTAGTATGTAATCTATCAGGAAAGGAACACACAGATAACTCAGGTTAATGTGCAGTGAGCGAATGGATTTCTGCTTGCGTTACTGTGTTTGTTCATTTGGTGCTTGGTGTGTTTGTTTGTGTTGTCACAGGCTTTGAATTCAGCACCAAAGTCAACTTTCCAGGAACGGAGTATTCCCATTTTCTATTCTAATGGCAGAATATATTTTTTCAGTCTTTCTTTGTTTCCTATAAATATATCAAGGAAGGCATATGAGTATTGTGTGTATTATATTCAGATGCATAAATGTTTGTCTATATACATACATATGTTTGTAATTTTTTTAGTAATGCTTATGACATTGCTGACCATGACTGCATTGTAGGGGTTGGTACTTATTTTTACAAAATATTCTCCTTTAAAATGTGCTCTCCTTGTTGACTTCCATTGTAGTTTCTCCCTTAAGCAATATTATCTCCAGACTGCAGTTACTTGTTGCTGTTATCAGGGTGGATGTTCATGCCCAGAGAATATACATTAAATGCTTACTCATAGAGAGCACTGCAACTGTCAGCAACCCAGTTTCATTGGAGCTGAGCTATTAAAGTTATTGTTCAGCAGAAAGTCCTCTAGGATCTAATTTAGATACATTTCTTTATTGTATTTCAGAGTTCTTCTGCAGTCGTGTGGTGAACAATGAAGGTTCTGTTGCTGAAGGATCCCAAAGACAAAGAATCGGGACCAGATCCCTATATTAAAGTGAGTAAACTTTAAAAAAAGCCAGCAGTTGTGTCACTTCACAATTAAATACTAGTATCATGTGTTCAGCCAGGTAAATAAAATAACTGTTTTAAGTTAAAAATGTGCTTAATCAAAATTAGGAGTGCCTGTCTGAAATTATGCTAAGAAAAAAGTATGCTAGAAAATTTGTTGTTACTGAAAAAATCGTTTTAGTTACGGGGCGTTCGTACTGAATTCACCGTTAAAGCTCTCAGCAGAGTACTGATATCAAAACAGTTTCATTTTAATTAATTAATATTGATTGTGTTCATATGAATGGAATTAAGATTACGAAAAATGTTAGTAGTCTTACTGGGAATATAATGTGGAAAAAAGGTTACCTGTTGCTGTGGTTCTTTCTGCTCTTGAGTCTTACTGCTACGAGCAGTTCTATTGACTTTAAAGAATTAGAGAGGTGTACAGGAATGTTTGTTGTAATACTCAATAACTAACAAACCCAAACTGGATTCACCAGTAGAAGCAAATAAGGCACCTTTTTACTTTACTTTAGTAAACAAAAATGTTTGTGCTTAGTGGATTCTTTGAGAAAGAGAAAGATACTGTTTGAAATCTGTTTCAAGAGCTGTAAACCCTTTTTTGATAGGAATTAGGATTATATGGATTTGAAGCCACTTTGATTCCAGTTTTGTCATTTGAATTCACATCTCTTGAAAGCTTATTTGAAAAGGTAAGTTTTAAAGTATTTCAGTTGTCTCATTCTCAACAGAATTGAGGCCATGGTTGCTAAGATGATATGTCTCTTCATTAAATAATGCCCTTTGTGGTACCTCTTTTTGTGTTCCCACAAACACAGCTGTATACAATACCATATTGTGTATACAGTACAATACAATATTGTGTAGGAGTGTGTTTGCCATACGTGTTTAAGAATGAATGTGGTCAGAGAAAATTCACTTCTAGGCTGATGGACCATAGGTAGTCACAGGTATTGGGGCATTTTGTCAGAAGAAGAAATCAGAAGCATAATTAAGTAGTGACAAGGAAAGGTTACCCAAGGTTCACCCTTACAGTGTTTTGAAGTTGTGTGCTGCGTCTCCTGGTTACATGGAGTAAAAATGCACAATTGGTGTTTGCTTTCTGCTCACTCTTCAGTGATTATGTATTTTAAAATGTTGACATTTTTTCCAAGGGAAGTTCTGCTTGTTGATTACCTCAGACAGCGCTGAATTTAGGTCTTAAGTGTTTGATTGAACAGCTTTTCTGTACTGCTCTTTGAGAGCCCCTTAGTAATCCTGGCTGTTCTTTGAGGGACAGGGAGCTGTCTGGGTGATACCTTCTGTGTTTTTACTGGGAATAATTGTCTATTTGTTTTGTATTAATTTGTAAGCACCTCATATGTCATTGTCCATCCTTCCAGCTCATTTCAGTGACAGGAATCCTACAGGTTCTCAGAATTTGTATTAATCTGTGCAAGTTCTGTTCTGAATTTGAGATTTGTTACACATTTATGTTATAAATACTCTAGCTACTCATAGTAATGAACTATTTGCCTGTTTCAGTTTCAGGCATTTATTGAAGCTGCTCTGTTCTTCACCAGACTATAAAGAATTGGTCAACTTTATTTATTTAATCTTTTTTTTTATTTACTTCTTAAATTTACTGCTTACAAGTAGCTCTCTCATCCAGAATGTTATGGAGGCCTTGTTTTTACCAGTCCAAGAGCACTAGAAGCCATCAAGATATGTTTAAAAGAGAATAGTAAAAATGAAGGTAAGTGCATATTTACGTTCCTTGGTATTTCTGTTTCAGGGTTTTGGGAAGCTTGTAATTTTATTTCACCCACCAGTAGGTGTTTGGATTATGCCTTTTTGCAAAACACTTTCTCTCATAGTTCTTTTGGCATCATAAACGCCTCATTGAGCTTTCCAGGGTTGGGTTTTCCACATTTATGCTGTTAAAAATGAAGGAAAAGAGGTTTTGGTACAAATTACTAATTAGTGTGAACTTTTTTCATGCATGAGGAACATTTTGCTGCAGTGCCTAGTTTTGTTTTACTACTTTCCTCCCTTAAAGAGAGGAGCACGTTATAGGGACTGGCCACTGCTACTTCTGTGCCTTCATATGAAGTCTTGGAGGAAAAGAGATTTCTCTGTCTTGAATATAAAATTTCTCAAGTGAATTAAGTAAAAAGCAGTGAAGTGGTGGTGACACATAAAAGCCAACAGATTATTGTAAGGATCCTGTGGAGTGCTAAATAGACATTACCATAGCAATGATCTGTCAAGTCCTTGGAAGCTCTTACACGGAGTGGTAACGTCTGGCTTTGAGTTTCTGTGTGCACCTAAATTGTATCATTACTTTATCTGCTCCATAGTTGGGCTGCAGTCACACTATTCCATGTACAGTGAGTTAGTACTTACACACTTGAGTAGTAAATATACTGTCAGCGTCTTTTAGCATTTTATATTTTATATTTTACAATTATATTTATGGTTATATTTTACGATTTTTGGTCAAATGAAATCTCTTCTCTAAAGTTCATCCCTAACCTTCATTAAGAATTTTGGGAGCTGCTGAAATACCTATTTTAATCAATAAAATGAGGTTTTTGTTCCTAGTTGGGTTCCTTTCAAAGGTAATAAAATCCTTTCTTTTTCCTTCTTTAGAATAGTTTCCTCTGACTATTTTTTGTTGTTCTTTTAATTTCCATTTTTCCCCCCAAGAAAGGACCTCAGTGTCCCAAGCTATACTGTTTTAGGACAAGATAGTCAGAAACTTGGTGTATCTGTTTCTGACCCATCAGGATTTCAGGCACAGGGGTCAGGTAGCTGGGACCAAGAGGTGTAATTGGTAACCTATGGCTGCTTGAAGAAAGAAAACCGTTTCCTGGTAATTTTACTTTGGTCTCTGGTACATTTGATTTCGGAGCTCATAACTTATTTTTGGTATATGTTTAAAATATAATCAATTTCTATGTTTTTCCTGTAGAAGAAAGTGTTGCGTTATACAGTACTATAGTGCACGGACAGAGATTTTTACCCTTTTATTTGTTGTCAGAGAAGATTATGTGTTTTTGCTTTGCCTAAGCCTTCATTTTGAAACCACCAGTTTGTGTGTCTAAATCTCCCTTTGTGCTGCTTTTCCCTAAGAGTTTCAATGCTTTTCAAAGTTATTAAGGCCAAAATAGAAACAAACATTGCAAGTTGCGTGCGATATGGCATAGGGCAAGCGTGCATTCAAAATGCTGCTTAGCAAAAGCAGCTAAGAACTGTTTACTCAAATCAGGCTTTTAAAAACATGTTGCAGAGTGCTGTTTACACAATGAAAATAGACATCAGAATTCATTTTGCACATCCAGATTTGCTGCAATATGTACTGGAGTATTAGTTGTTATTATTTTGCTGTATTTTGTAGATTAAACAGCAATGCAAACACTCATTTAGCATTCGTATTTTGTTGCCACGTGCTTAAATTGAATGTAATGTTTTTCAGCCTGGACAAAATCTCTTAAACAAAGATGGAAAAGCAAACCAGCATACGTGGTGGGAAAAGCTACGGCTTCTCTAGGTAAGCTGGGGTTTAACTAAAGGAAATCTTAGATAAATCTGTCTTGTAAGTACAGTTTTTGGAATGTTAGCTGCTATTCAAAGGTGCTTAGAAGAATAGGTAAGTTTTATAAATGGATCATTTTGAAAGGAGGCAATGGTACCCACATTGGAGCTGTGCGGGCTTTCTTCATCTGAGGAGTTAGCTTGTGGTTTGCCATGACTTTTACTGTAATGGGATGGTAACTTCTTTAAAAATGTGGTCAAAAACGAAAAAACCCCACTTTGGGTCTTAATTTGCATGTTCTTTTTTAATTCACATTGGAAATGAAATGGGATGAAGGGGTTTATAACGTGATGGAGTTTGTATGAGGTGTGGTGCACCAGCCCTTCGTTCCCTCAAGGTTCCCAAATGCTCTATTTTTTTGCTATTTAAAGAACTATTTGTGTGCATGGACCAAGTCGTGTCTCCTTTTTCAACCCCTGTTTCTGTGACAGTAAATCTGAATTATTCTTATTGATTTCAACGTCTGTCTTTGCTACTTTTGGTTTCAGTGGAAGAAATCGGCCTTACTCCACAAGGAGAAAAGTCTGGAAACGCTGAAAAATTAGCAGAATATATTTGCTCAAGTAAGCATCTAAGATCTACTTAAATTAAGCTCATGCACCTTCCATTGTTTCAGAATTTCCTGTAAAATCAAGTGTACACTGAGGTAGAGAAGTATATACTGTGTATGTCTCTGATATGTAGAACCTGTGAATTCAGCTTCTGGGAATGTGGGTGATATCTCTAAAAGACAATAAAAATACATCAAAATACATATACAGAATACTAATTTACATTAGCTTAATTGATTAATAATATGACCAATTAGACAAAGTGGTTTTTTTTACTAAAAGAACTGAAATGATTGGAAATTACTGCTTAATTTTAAGATTTAAATGGTTGTGTCCCTGTGTGTGCTGGTTTTCTGGGTGTTTGGGGTGACCTGACTTTCCTGGCTTCAAAGCAGCGGATGCTGAGGAATTTCCACATTGCCGTAGTTCAAAGTAAATAAGGGTAACACTTTTCCTCAGAATTAACTTGTGGCTTCTGAGGAATCTGTGTTTCAGCACCAAAGGAGAGCGGTTTTGAAGAAGCTGCAGAAAGGATTTGTTAAAGGGATGGGTTCTGTTTTGTTAAACCATTTTGTTACGGTTAGAGCTGTAACGCTGCTCTGTTTGCTGCTTCTAAATGTGTTAGCAGCTTGTTGGGTCATTTTAAAAGTCTGGGTAGTTTACTTGTTAAAATTTGCAGTAGTAATCAGAAACATTTTTTGGCTTGGAGATGACTGGTTTTTGAGTGGATGGTTCAGCACAAGCTGTGAAAAAAGAGGCCGTGTTTGTTCACTTGGGTGAAAATGTCCTAAGCAGGAGGTGCCAATGCAACGGGTTTGACCTCAGTGCTCCTCACACACCTGGTGATGTTCCAGGAGATATTTCCTTTTT